AGAAAGAAGAATAGGATTGAAGGAACTAGGAATAAAAACAAGATAAGATATTGAGTTGCCTTCTGCTAGTACCACACGTTTTTGTGGAGCAGAATTGCCAACCATACGTTTGAACTGGCTTTTGGTGTGGACTGACCATTAAGGAGTGATGTTCATGGCGCGGTGTGTAAGCTTTCTGCTTTTAATGTTTTCTGACCAAAATTGATAACTTTCTTTTTTGATCTCGATTTAGCAGACATATTCTTTGTTAAATAGTGATGCGATTTAGGGTGACTCTGAAGATCGTATTTTTTTGCAAGTATTAGATGTTGAGAATTGAAGTGCATCATTTGCTATGCTAAAAATACAACATGAGAATTTACAGTGGTACTATCACAAATACGCCATTAGAAAGTTTTCCACTTAGGCGGTGTGTAACAAGAATAAAGTTGGAAAAATTATATATAACCCCCAATAGTTGGACCCCGAAATTGATAGATGAAAGAATGACCTGACTAATCAATGCCTGCTTCAAAATGCGACAATGACTTTGGCATCTTTTATGATACGGAACGAGAAAACTTGGGTTTAGGAACCCATCGTACATATTGGTTAATAATTGTTTGGGGGTTTTTAATTAAGAAGCTAAGCATTATAAAATGATTGGAAGTCTTTTTTATTTTTTAAAGTGGAACAAGTTTTTTTAAATACACAATTATTCACAACAATAATTACCCTTGTTATCTAATTTGAAAATTCCTAAACAAGAGTCTTTTTGGTTTTGCACTTCGTATAAGGCGAAACCATTTTCCAATTAGGCATTTAGCGTGTGAATTGTGAAAGACGGCATCTAGGTCTAGAGATTTTTTCTCTTTTAAATTTTTTGGATTTACTCGACTTGATTGTCATGTTAGCATCAATTGGGGCTCACAAGAAAAAAATGACTATTCTGCAAGACATTAACGGGTTTGATGTTGTTGGAAAGTTAAAACGTTCAAATGTGGAATATACTCAAATTATTCAATACTCCATTCGATTCCAGGGCCCCAAAAATTATAAAGAGGAAAAGAAAGAGTGAATCACTTTTCTAAACCTGATCTTGATATTTTCAAGTGAACTAATTAGCTTCTCATCAGATATCTTTTTATTCTTTTATTGAATACACTAGTTATCATAATACTGTCTGTGTTTTTCATTAAAATAAAGATAACTTCTTATAACTATATTTAGTTCGTCATGCATCACCATAATGATGTGGCACTGAATTTACAATATAACTTATGTATTAGTAGACTCATTACATGTCTAATTTTCCTTTTTCTTCACTTTTCTCTTTTCAGGGTTAAAGTCCCAATTCATAAATCTATGTTGGACTGCTTAAAAGAAATCATCAAAAATCTAGTTTGGAGCTTTGATATGGAAGGTGAAGGCCACATCCAGGGTGGCAGGTCAATTCATTTTCTTCAATTTAATTTGCTACTTATTTTCTAGTATTTTGATGAATGAATATTGAACGAAAATGTATTAACGTCTCTTCATTTTCATGCTAACAAGAAAAATATGTTTTTCTTACAAAACATCAATAAGTGAAGAGTAGGCAGGAAAATAAAAAAGAACAAAGACTATGAACCAAGTTTAGATTGAACTCCCGCAGAACTTAAAAAACAAAAAAAAAAAAAAAGGCTCAAATTGGACTTGTTCTGTGAGAGTAGTTCATCATTTAACTTCTAATGCATTGGGTTAGCAGTCTCCTCCATTGCAGCCCAATGCCAAAAAAAGAATGGTTTATGGAATTCTGCTGGTTTATTAAACAAAACATCTCAACTCCCAAAACTAATGGAAGAAAGTACAACTTTACTAAAACTAGAAATTGAGATACAAAAACCTGCTAATTAGAATTTAGGCTTGTTCTTGTATGCTGTGAAATTTTGCAAAATTTGATTAAAGTGATTGGTGAGGATAATGAGATCAGGTAAATCTACTCTGCAGTAGACTCATAATTTTAATTTTTTTGCCTATTGAAAAAATCTAAAGTTTTGATGTAGAAGCAAGAATATCAAAAGGTTAATAATCCAAATTTTAGAATGTATAATCAAGAAAAATAATCAATCGAGAATAACCCTTAATTGTCATGTGCAAGAGTCTAAGTTTAGTCTACCTGAGTGTTTTTCCCACCAAGTATGATTTAGTTGTAATTGACGATCAATTATCAACTATTAGGGTAGGCCTAATGATTAGGGGAGGGCTCTTAGGGCCTTCCCTGTCTCATGTAACTCTTTAGTAATAAGGCTATCTGAAAGAGATAATTCATAAATTAATTTTGGCTTACATACGTACATATTGGAGACCTTAGGTCCTGTTCTCTTTACAACTAAAGAGCCCCTTCTCTGCTTCCTATATATATATATATATATATATATATATATATATATATATATATATATATATCTGGCTTCTTCATCCTTTTTTTTTTTGGTGTAATTCATTCAGTCAACGTTTAACAAGGATGCTATTTTTTTTAAAAATAAAAGCTTTTATTGCCCAATCAGAAGCTTACAAGCCGAGACCAGGATCGGTCATCACGACGATCCTTTGATAAGCCTAATAGAAGGAAAGCCTAGCATATTCAGCCTAACTTCCCCTCTTGCCAGCTGTGGAAGAGAGCAGAATTGGTGATACACCCTCACATGATCCTGCGGATGCAAGATACCTATATTAGCTAAGATTTATGCAAAATTTTGAGAGATTTATGCGTCAATCGAAGAAGGCTAAGGGGAGATGAAAGGGTCATCGTGGGGGAGAATGTGTCAGCGGTTCTACAAAGGAAACTCCCACCCAAGTGCGGGGATCCAGGTAGGTTTACTGTCCCATGTAGGATAGGTAATACTTTGATTAGGAATACCCTGCTGGACTTAGGAGCATCGATCAACGTAATGCCTAAATCTATGTATGATTCTCTGAACCTCGGTCCATTAAAAGAAACTGAAATAATAATCCAATTAGCTGACCGAACAAATGCATATCCTGATGGGTTGGTCGAGGATGTGGTGGTTAAAATTAATGAATTGGTATTCCCGGCTGACTTTTATGTACTTGACATGGATGATGACCATTCTCCCGACCTTCACCTTTGCTATTAGGTAGACCCTTTTTGAGTACAGCTCAGACAAAAATTGACGTTAATAAGGGTATATTGTCCATGGAATTTGATGGAGAACTAGTCCACTTTAATATTTTTGATACAATGGAACATCCTATTAACTCTCACCCTGTGTTTACTATTCATGCTATTAATCCCTCTGTGCAAGAATTTTCTGAGTTTGCTTGTAGGGATAAATTCAAATTTACTGAGAACAAGTATAAGAGGATGAAAGCACTGTATGAGGTGAAAAGGAGTAGAAAATTAAGGAAGAAGGCTGCACTCAAAAGCTATTTGGATCTTGGAGGAGGGCCACCGATTTCCAGGAAAATTGACTTACACCCAGAATGAAGAGTGGTGTTCAATGTCTAGCCAAAGACATTAAAGAAAGGCGCTCATTGAGAGGCAACCCAATCTCTTTTAATTGTTTGTTTGGCTTTGTGTGATAGTTTCAATATGTTTTCGTTGAGTTTGGATTGGTTTCGGGCTTGAATTTTCGTTTTTGGTGAGTTGTAGGTGTCTATCTGACTCGGCGCGCCCGCGTCATGTCGCAGGAAGAGCTCATGGTCAGAGAACTCTCTTGCCCTCATGACGTGCCCGCGTCATGACGTATGGAGAGCTCAATCGTTAGAAAGGGTTTCGGTCCTCTTGACGTGCCCGCGTCAAGTCCCATGGAGAGCTCATGGTCAGAGAGCTCTCTTGCCCTCCTGACGTGCCCGCGTCAGTCACGTTCGCGGGAATGGTAAGGATTCAATTTTCAAAAAAAAAAAAATTTTTTGATTACTTGTTAACTTCTAATTTTTAACTTCGAAAATGACCTATGCTCATAATAAGATTAAAAAAAAAATTTTAATACCAAAAAAAAAAACCCAATTTCTTTTTCTTCTTTCCTTCTTTTCTTTCTTTTTCTTTCTTTCTTTCTCTTTTCTTTCTTTCTTCTACTCTGTTCTCCTGCTGGTCCGCCGCTCCCTGCTAAACGTGTGCCTCCAGCTCAGTGACCACCGCTCGTGCCGCCATCAGATCTCCTCCAAAGTCGCAGCCTCCTGCCCTCGGCCGCGCGCCACTAGCTAGCGCACAACCCAGCTTCTCAGCCACACGCGACAGCCAGCCCCCCATGCCGTCTTTCCTTTTCATCAACATGGTGAATTTGAGCTAGCCCAAGTTCACTTATGCTTTACAATCTTTAAATTTGAAATTTCATTAATTTTATGGATTTAACAAGCAATCTCTCATAATTTCAATGACGCAATAAGAAAATATAGTATTTTCTCTAATTGATCTACTAATAGATTAAAATACATCATTAAATCACTACAAGAAAATTGTGTTTCTGTGACAGGCGAAAGTCGTCACTAAAAATTCAGAAGTCGTCACAAAAAAAGTCAGTGACGACTTTTACTGCTGTCACAGAGCTGTCACTAGTTCTATGTCACAAAAGGGGGTCCATGTGACGACTGTTGAAAGTCGTCACAAACGATTTCGCTTTTGTGATGACTCTTGTCGTCACTCATTGTTGTACATTGTGTGACGACTTTTATTGTCACTAAGCTGGCTAAATTCTTGTCATAGTCAACCCTTGGAGTTGTCACATTATGCTTCCGTTCAGTGACGACTTTTGTTGTCATTGTTTTCCATCCATAAAAAGTGACGACTTTCTGGTGTCACTAGTGAAACTTGTTGGCAGTGACAACTTTTTTATTGTCATTTATTTTTTTGTAAAAAGCAATAATCTAATGTTAATTACGCAACATAGCTGCCAACAATCACAAAACGTTCATTGAGTAGCAAGGAGAAAAAAAAAGCCAACATACGAAAAGAAAGCCAACATTCATTTCCAATAGAAGATCAACCCAAATACATATATATATATATATATATATATATATAAATGTTGCCTCAAATGAGTCATAAACCATGCACCATCCAAAATAAGCCATTCAGTTACAATACTAGTGATTTCCCATCCACAATAGAGAGTAGTAAAGTTCTATACAAAAATATGAGCACGATTCTCATCTAGAACAAAACATGAGCACGATAGGCCTTGTAGTCTTCAATTCAAAAACCATCTTCACAGCAATGACTGGCTTCTTCTTCTTGGGAATCGTGTTAGAACCTACACGTTACCAAAATTGAAGCAATGAGCACTGGTGTTAAAACTGGAACTACACTTCTAGATAGGCACCATATTATAAAAACTAATGTCACTCTAATTTGAAATTATAGCAATCTAAGTAAATTGATTAACACAAAAATAAAGTGAAATTATAGCAAATAAGACATTGAATGTATATTCTGTGAAATATAGAATAACAATACAAACACAATAAATATCTGCATGTTCACAAATATATATGCAATAACAATAACAATAACAACAATGAAATCCTAAAATCATTGAGAGCCTAGATGATCGTGAACCACACAGTATATCAAGAAAAAAAAACACACACACACACACAATCACAGGTGCCTCTTTTTCCTTAGCACAAAAAAAAATTCTGATACAGAAAAATTTAGATGAGTTCGACAAAGAAAAAAGTGGAATACATCCCAACGTTCAAACACATTTGCATTAAAAACACTAAAGTTTTGGTTGCAACATCCAGCACCTCAGTGGCTGTAATTAAACATGAACAAGATTTCAAGCACCTAAATCAGCCTCAAGCAACTCAATTGCATTAAACAGGAATCAGATTTGGTGGAATCAGATTTGGTGGAACCAGATTTCAAGTGCCATCAAGCAACTAAATTGACATCAAGCAACCCAATTGTATTAAAAATGAATCTCTATTTTGTAGAACCAGAATTCAAGTGCCTCAATTGTAATAACTATGAAGAGCAAACAATTTATTTATACCACAAAAGAAATTAGACATCCAGGCAAATGATGAAATACATTCCTAAGCACAATATGCCAAAGTAAAGACCATATTCATACCTCTTGAACCAGCAATAAACAAAGCAGACTGAACAAAGAAAATCATGTACCCAGGATACAATCCCTGCGACACAACAGATACATTTAATTATGTAATGAGGTGATATTCAGATTATTTATTATCTAAAAAAAGGGGGAGAAATGAAAGGTCATATGGCTAGTGGACATGTTGCGTCTCAAGGGAAGGGAGAAGTATTATCACCAAAATTGGGGTAACAAAGATGCATTTGCTTTCAGATGGCAATAATACAAAGGATAATGCAATTAGGAAGAAAATGACCTGGGGACTATTATCAAAGAATATAAGCATCAAACACAGGTCATCATAACAGCCCGAGATCAGAGCATCAAAGATATAAAGGAATGTGGAAACACATATTAAATACAAATATAAATTGAAAACATGCCTTCTTCTCTTTATTACATTTGACAAAGTTTCCATGATGTTAAACATGGTGATAATCAGGAAGCCAAGAACACAACCAAGACTTTATCCCATTCAATCTCACCCTTGTACATCAGCCCTTTACTTCTATTCTACCCTTTTTTGGTCATGCTCTTCCATAAGCAGCAAGACCACATATTAATTAAATTACTAACATTCCACTGTGGTTTTAGTCCATCTTTTCCTCCAGCCTGCAATTGTCGTCCTATAACTCTTTCCAACATTGCAACTTTTGATTATATGGAAACATCCGGATTTCCATATCAATTTGTTAAGTTATCTTCCAAAGATAACAACTATATTCTTTTCTTATATCACAATAAAATCAGTAAATAGGACCAAATGGATGGCACCAAAATGTGCTCCATGCAGCTCAAGAAACAACATATTGCATCGACCAATATTCCTGATTCAGGAAAGCCAAGTATATAGCCAAATCATAGAAGATGGCCAACACAAGCAATCAAGTTTTATTTGCCAGTACCCTACAGAATCATGTTGTTGAAATTGTTAGCATGCACAGGTTATCAAAACTAATTAGACCATGCAAGAAAAATAAGCTGCCCTTGTTCGATTCAGCTTTTCTGAAGCTGATTAGAAAAGGTGATCATCCAAAAGGTGAACTCCAAAAATTTGGAATTACGTTTCACTTTTAAAATTTCTCCAACCTAAAAAGCTGTTTTCAAAACTAACTAGAAGACTGCTCCTCATAAATAGCCTTTCTGCATAAAATCGATTCTGTTACTCAGATGCTTTTAGCTTAAAAGAAACTATAATTAGCTGATTTTAAGAAACCAAGAAGAGAACCTGTATTTAGCTAATTAATATATATTTTACAATAAGGACCCATGCACCTGTTAGGAACATAAATGCTTAACTTCCATGAATACAACTACTACCAATTCCGATAGTGATATATGATCAGAAATATAATACTAAACTAATGAAACCATGTCTTCTCAAAAGAAAGGAAATGAAAGAAAAAAACTATAGCTTATACTTACATGCCATACAGCACTGACAGTTTGCGTAGCCAGCAACTGAAAGAAACCAGCTTTCTTACCATCCTGGACAAGCCGCTCATATACATCTAAAAAACAAAATGGAGATCAGGCACCAATGTTGCTTCTAGCTTTGCTTCCAAATTTGTGTAATACAAGATGGAAAGCATGACATGCATGATAATATGAGCTTATACATAGAGGAATTAGCTTACGAGATGGATATCAAGCTCATAAATTTGGTTCTTGCAGCAGCGAGCAAAAGAGTAGTTCCTTAATACTTGTGACCTCTCCAGAGGTCTAATTACCATGGCCTTGAAAAGTTATGTTCACTTAAAATGTTGTTGCATTTAACTCTAGTAAGGAGGAAAATTAAGGCATTATATTCTTATCATTGATGAAGTTCCTTGACTCTCATAGATGGTATTGAAGCCGATAACATGAGGAACAAGAACAGTAATCTGCTCTCAAGCGAAGCAGATAGCTCAAATATCCAACTCAATTGCAGATGATAAGAGTGCATTTCTAAAATGTATCATTCAATCTCAACTAACCACATGATTCTTCATGACTAAAATTTAAGATATATCTACAATTTCAGCTCCAAACCCTTAGATAAAATAACTTTGTATATTAAGCATGTCTTCTTAAGTATGATAACCATGTAATTTATTAGATAAGTGCTACAAACTCCTTTCTCGATCTGGTTAAGTTAATAAAGTTCCAGATATAGTTATAAAGCCCTCCCTTTGATTTGCGCACTTCAAACCCCTTGCCAGCCCCCCAAAACCCCACGCCTCCTAAAATGCCCATGTAGATATATCATATGTCATTTATGTCAAATGTGGGTCAACAGTAAGCCATAAGCTAGCTTTACTTCCACAACATAATACACAAGGTCTAGAAGAAAATTTAACTCACAATGCCCTAACACTGTTCATACTCCAGATCGCAAGTGTTTCGGATGCGATTTGGCCAAGAGTATTACCTTCCCCACTGCTAATTAACAATCTAGTTCATAAATTAGTCTTTACAATAGAAGGCTGAGCAGCTTTTGAAAGCAAAAAAAAAAAAAAACACATACCGCACATACCGCACAATTCCCCGTCACGAAGCTCGGCCGTCTGGTGAAGGACGGCCAAATTCGCTCATTGGAGCAAATCTATCTTCACTCTCTCCCAATCAAGGAGTACCAAATCATTGATACTCTGGTCGGCCCTTCGTTGAAGGATGAGGTTATGAAGATCATGCCGGTCCAGAAACAGACCCGAGCTGGTCAGAGGACCCGGTTCAAGGCCTTTGTGGTGGTCGGAGACGGAAACGGCCATGTGGGATTGGGTGTCAAGTGTGCTAAGGAAGTGGCGACTGCGATTCGTGGGGCTATTATTTTGGCTAAGTTGTCTTTGATTCCGGTGAGGAGAGGATATTGGGGGAATAAGATCGGGAAGCCCCATACTGTGCCGTGTAAGGTTACCGGGAAATGTGGGTCTGTTACTGTGAGAATGGTTCCGGCGCCAAGGGGAGCTGGAATTGTAGCTGCTAGGGTTCCTAAGAAGGTTCTTCAATTCGCTGGTATTGAGGATGTTTTTACCTCTTCCCGTGGATCTACCAAAACCCTCGGCAACTTCGTCAAGGCTACTTTTGAATGTCTGTTGAAGACTTATGGGTTCCTAACCCCCGACTTCTGGAGAGAAACTCGCTTCACATAGTCTCCATACCAAGAGTTCACCGATTTGCTGTCAGCTAAGCCCACTGCGAAAATTGCCTATATAGAGGACTCTGCTCCTGAGAGGGTTGAGGCCCAAGTTTTGCTAGGTGTTTATGAAATACTAGATAAACTGTTTGAAGTTTGGTCTTTCTTTTGAGTACTGCCAAGGTGTTCTGTTTCTTGATATACTTGATGGTTTTATTTGTAGCACATCATTGAATTTGGTGTCAAAAAATATATATATATATATATCATTTGTATTTTGCTAATACGTAATGAATAGGGGCTAAATTATAAAATTAGGGTGTCATATCTTCTGTGTTTTTGCTCATATAAAAGAATTGGGGGCTAAATAATAAAATTAGGGTGCCATAGTAGAATTAGTGAAATTTGATGAAAATACTATAGAATTGCTTATATACAGTATAGCACTTCTTACTCATGCTTATCCTACTCTTTGTCTATTACTTAGTTTTTATAATAAATTAAAAGAAACATGTAATGAAATATTCTGTTAAATGTGTTACAACTCTCAATCTTATTGCATGACAGATATTTTACTGAATAATTTTATTTCGTATATACCCATTCCATATGAAAATAATTATTACTTATGATGTATTACACGTTATACTAATCTTTCACAGTGCTAACATTAGACTACAAATTATATTCAATTACACTTTTTCAAATTATTTCAATTATTGATTTTTGGGAGTTGTTATAAGTAATAATAAACAATTCATGAAAAAAATTTTATGCTCAGACATGTCTATTATGTCAACTTAGCAAAAATTACAAATATCTAAAAATAGTTTGTTATTATATCATTTGCATTTTGTTAATACATAATGAATAGGGGCTAAATTATAAAATTAGGGTGTCATATCTTCGGTGCTTTTGCTAATATAAAAGAATTGGGGGCTAAAAAATAAAATTAGGGTGTCATAGTAGAATTAGTGAAAGTTGATGAAAATACTGTAGTATGCAGTGATGCAAAAAGTTGTCACAAAATTGGAACCGGGTAGACTTTCAATGACAACAAGTTATGTTGTCACTGTAGAGAGAGCGTTTGTGACGACTTTACTTGAGTTGTCATAAAATCATTTCCCGCGGCATCAAATGAGATGCGCGCCAACTATTTCGTGACGAGTTGAGAATGACAACTTCCAATGTTGTCACTGATTATGCTTGTGCTGTACTCATCTGTGATGACACCTAATGTCGTCACTGAATTAGGTTATCTGTGACAAGATTTTTGTTGTCACATAAATTTTTGTCACTGAAAAATATATTTCTTGTAGTGAATGAAAAGCTTTAAATAAAATTTTTTATTACAATTGGCCTGATTAAATTTTTTTTTAAGTGTAAGTGGAATGTATCGAATTCGAAATCTCTCACTTACACTCACTCCTCCAGCTATATTAAGTTGAATTTTATATGACTATCTTACATTGATATATGTCCTTTATGTGATACCTTACAGCCTATAGATGTACAAATTACTATAGGATTTAGCTAAAGAAATGCATACATCAACAAAATGTTGTACATATCAAAGTGGGCTGAGACTGGACATGGCTAAACCTTTCATAGCCTAATCTTGGCTCACTTTGAAAACTTTTAGATTTCTTAACCCGCCAAGGTTGATATGGCTGGGGTTGGATTGCCTAAGATCAACTCACTTTGAAATTGAGCATCAATAATAGGCCCAAAAATTGAACCCTGCTTGATCTTATATTAAGCTCAGCCCTAGTTTGGGTGGAATAAATATAGCAAACTCATTTTTTTTCGCAATGATAACAGTTGTTTAATCTATTCTATCCTAAGGAGACTTGTGTGTCAGGGGCTAGTAGGTATGTAGATCTGACTAGACCAAGAGGGTGTTATGGCTTGATCTTATATTAAGCTCAGCCCTAGTTTGGGTGGAATAAATATAGCAAACTCATTTTTTTTTTTTCGCAATGATAACAGTTGTATAATCTATTCTATCCTAATCTACAGGGAAGGGGAGCCTAAGAAGGCTTGTGTGTCGGGGGCTAGTAGATATGTAGATCTGACTAGACCAAGAGAGTGCTATGGCACCTCCCTTGGATTTTTTTTTTTTTTTTTTTTGCTGCAGGTGAGGTTTGAACTCCCCACCTATAATCCAAGGAGAGATTTAAGTCCCTCCCTGTTGACCACCGAGCTAAGCTCAGTGGTTTGATTCGGCACTATTGACACTCCTACTGCTATGGCAAGTGAAATATAATATCATCGTAATACCAGCTCATAGCTCTCAGCCATTTATTGTTGATTGCAAATCTCCCTCCGTAATGAACTTTTTTTTTTTTGCAAATTTAATTGGCAAAGAACCTTAACTGCGGTAGGCAGTAATAGACTCTATTACTTATGAAAAATTTTATTATAGTCTACACTAACTACTTGAATAACTGCTTAATAAATCTAGTAGTTGAGGGTTATTATCACTTTACCACTTAATGTTTGGTGCTACTATGAATTTTTCTCTGAACGTTACTTGTTAGTCACTTTATCTTCAAAATTAATGGTCAAACTTAATGGAGTCTGTTAATTGAAGTGAAAAGACATGTTTAACCCTTAAAATTATTATCACTTTACCCCCCATAAAACTATAGCCTCAATATCAATCTACCCGCTAAAGTTATTCTTCAGACAATTTATTCCGCTATTAAACCAATTTAGGAAGTTAAAAATTTTAGAATAAAGTAGCCTCCTCTTTGTATAATAAAAATAATAAAAAATTTAGAGTGTCTCTTCTTCTTTTTAGTATCAAGAAAAAAAAGTTAAAACATTAATTTCTTTCGTCTTGGCAATCTTGTTAATATTGGAAAAAAAATTAGAAAGATAGGGGGCAGAGAAAGGGAGAGAACTCAATTCTTTTTTTTTAAATACAAATACGAAAGAATTCAATGTTTTTATTATTTTAAAATTACTTTACTTTTTAGTCTACCACCCAATTCCAATCCTAATTCCAATGATGTTAAAGTAATATGATAATATTAGATTCTTCCTTATTTTCTTTCCTGGCAAAATCTAATTTTTTTGTTTCTTTCTCTCCTATCTCTTTTTTTTTCTAGTATGAATAAGTGTGAAAAAAGAAATTTAAGAAAACTCTTTAATTTTTGTGTTTTTTAAACTCTTAGAGTGAAAAAAGGAAGAATAACCATTCTAACTTTTTTTTATTTTTAATTATATACAAAAAAGGGGTAAATACATTTAAAAATTTTTGAACATACTGGTTAGATTAACGACGGGGAAAAATATCTAGAAAATAATATTAGAGAGTAAAGCGATTATATCACTATAATTAAAGGGATAAAGTGATAATAATAATATAGTAAAGTTACTGTATCACTATAATTCAGGTTTGAGGGAAAGAGCAGTTTTCTCTGTCTGGATAAATGGTTTGGTGTCAAGTCTACGCCTGACTGTGTTTTCCATAAGTTGTGTTTTGAATCTGTCAGGAAATTGCTTTGAGAATGACTTGTGATGACTTGCAACAGTCGATCATTGACTGACCTGAGCTCATATTCTACTTTGACGAATTTATTTTTCTGCACATCCTTCATTTCCTCTAGAATAATATAATACATCACAAAGTAACTAGTGCAACAGTAGTTTCTAGTTAGTATCGAGTTAGCATTTGGAAGTAAACATTCACAACAGTATCTGTTGATTAGACCTTTTTTCTTTTAAATTTATAACTACGACTGGTTAGGGGAGGATTTGACTTGGTAATTGGAATTGATTTATAAAAGTTGATGACAGTCAATTTTATTAACCAGCTTCTTCAAAGCAAAAGTCCAATGGCTAATTAAGAAGATTTGGCCCCAGAGCAGGGACTTGTCTTTTAGGGACCATGGGACTATAGTAACAAATTATGCTTGATTTCTCAAACCATTTACAGACAGTGGACATGGACACAATACAGAATTACATTGTACCATCTTGGAAGACACCACGAAAGTTGGTAGAACTCACAGATAAATTATACCCAATTTGTACATGTAAGAGTTTGGAGTTTGTGTTTATGATTCACGAATGGCAAATTAAATTGATCTGAGGACTCTACGAAGCCACTATAAATATGGATCTGTTGGTATAGAAATAGACCAAATTCACTTTAAATATGTTAATTTCAGCCACTTGTAAATTGTAATCTAGGTATACTTGCCCTGAACTTAGCACATTGGCCATTCGTAAGACAGGCAATTCAACTTGTGCAAAAATGTTTTATTTGCCCTTGTCGGAATCAATTAGTTTCAGAAGTCTGTTGTTTATGTTTAATGAACTCATTAATGAGTTCAGTGGCAAGTTTTCCGACTTGGTCAATGTTTGGATACCGAGGTTCCTAGGTTAAAGTATCAAATTAAAGAAGAAAATTATAATTAATCATCAAACGATGGCTGTACATTAATATATATGTTGATTAACTAAGCACACAACCATGAGACTCGAAACAACTTATTTTACTACCAGAACAATGCCCTAATTAACATCACTGTCATGGTCATATCATAAAATTTTATCCTTACAGGTTCAAGAAATTGCACCGTTGGTTTCAAGATAAGCACAACTTTGATGAACCGTGTTAATGTGGGTTCTTGCTCTGGTGCCAAATCGCTTTAGTTAATCCTTAGCCCTTTTTTTTTCCCCACGAAAAATGTTTTGAATATATCAATCTGGGCCATGTTGAGCAGCTATAACATGTAATTGACTATAACATGCCAATTGGTGAAGTCCACCCCACGAGTCTTCGTGTCTTCAGGACCACATGCTGCTGATAATGAACTAAACCGTCCAAGTACAAAGTCACAAGACTTCACTCAAAGGCAGACCTGCGGATTTTAGTATCTTCACACTTAATCAATTACTCAGCGGTCACTAATATGTTACAAGTGCAGATTTTGGTAGTGTTAGTCTCCCTTGCCTGCATTTCCTGTCTCAAGATTTCCTGAAACATTTCCAAAGATAGTTTAGCTCCCTCAAATTCTCAACAGCTTAGTTGGATTCATTCTCATCCCCTCCCCCTAGTTTGGGATCAATTATAAAATGTCGTACTCAAAAAGTCTCCCTTGCTCAGCTCGGATAATTTTGTCGGTAACATTTGCTACATACCGGGTGATCGTCACTGGACTTCAAAAAAATGACCCGTGATCATATTCTTTTTTTTTTTGGGTTATATTAGTACTTGACTTTGCAGTGTATTATTTTTATTATTGTTGTTGTTACCATTATTATTAATATTTACGGTGATCATATTCTTCACTTCTTGTAGCAATTCGCCAAGAGCTATTTATCCAATTAATGCTTCAATAAGAAAACTTTTCTAGCATCATATGATTGTTGAAGTACCTTGGATGGTGCCACAATCAAAGCTAGGAGTTGCTTGTGATATGCTGATGAGAAAAGTTTATTCTCATGCTAAACTAAGAATGGAAATTGTGATATATCGTGGACAGTAGCTTCCAATATTCTGTAAAACTATTTCCAATAAGCTTCAATTGACCTCCTTTTTACGATAATTTGTGCTGTAAGAATTCCCTTTAAAGCAGCAAGTGAGAAGCATTTTCAAGTTGACATCCCCAATTAATGGCTATATCCGTTTGCTATAGATTCTATTGGATTTTTGTGCTCACCCTAAGTTTCATTTTACGGTGCAATTGTTATTTTAATTGTCTTACACAGCAATAACAACAAAAGGACTATAGACTAAAAGGACTTCATTTTTAAATGCATTTACCCATCAAACTTGTTGGTATTCTAAAAGTTGATTAAAAATGGGATTCCAAGTCAACTCTCAAAAATTTTCCAAGTCAACTAATCATCAATCATGAACCCAGACAATAATAATCATAAAAGGATCACTTTATGAAGGAACCTCTCTCCTTCACTTAAAATCTTCCTGTGATAATTATGAATCATAAATGTTATCAACAGCACAAAGAGGAAAGTTCAACCAAGGAGAGGACAAGGAAATTGGAGATTGTATGATTGAAGAGGAAAATGGAAATGCGAGGAACTTACTTTTGAAAGCAATGCTTTGAAAGCAATTATAGAAATTTTCGAATGCTCTGAAGATTCAACAGACCAATTGTGCAACTCTGTAGCCAAGAAATGGAGTAGACTAGTGTGGAACTAAAATACATTTTAAATCAATGACACAATTAGTTAATTTTATCATGTCATGCTCTTCATAATTATGCAGTTGATTTTTTTGTTTTGAAAATTAGAAGCCACAACGAGTTACAAGTGGTAATTGCTAACTAATATAAGTTATCTGTAACTTTTAACTTTGTACACCAATACTCACTATATTAGCACTAGTTTAATATATCCAAAGTCTTCTTCTAAAGTCATCTGATCATTCCGCTTGTTGGTTTTACTGGTAAAGAATGGTTAGAGTATTAGCTACAAATACATTTTAGTGAATTACCCCAGCTACATTTTCCATCACTCAGTAGAATTTCCTGTATAATAAAATAAATGCATCTTCGTCCTAAATATCAATGGATATGGAGCCCAGTATGAAATTGCTTGGAAATGCAAATAGCCAAATACTATATGTGAGGTAGGAGTTCAAGGGTTCAAATCTTGCCTCCTGCCAAGCTATTATATGCGGCTTCCTCCAATGGTGTTCCTAAAAATGATAAGAATCATTTAAACTCTAAGATTAACACTTGTGCCTTAGGCATCACAATAGTTGAGGAACTCTTGCTTCCTCAGTGTCAAGTACACTGAATGTAAAGTTAACTCGAGCCTTTACTCGCAATTGTATATCTTTTGAAAGCAATATAATCAAATATAGTTTTGAGAAAAAAAAATTAGGTTCCCTCCACCTAAATTAGATTATACAAATGTTATTATTGTGATAAAAAAATTGCTAAGTAGGTCCTAGCTGCATGTTTCTGCCCCACCGGAGAAAATTGGGCAATCATATGTTTGAACTGGCTTTTAGCGCGGACTGACCACTAAGGAGTGGTGTATAAGCTTTCTACTTTTAATGTTTTTTGACCAAAATTGACAACTTTCTTTTTTGATCTCGATTTAGCAGACATATTCTTTATTAAATGGGAACGTAATTTAGGGTGACTTTAAAGAACATATTTTTTGCATCATTTGTTATGCTAAAAATATAATATGAGAATTTACAATGGAACTATTACAATAGACTTTTAGAAAGTTTTCCACTTAGGTGGTGTGATGTTGAGCAAGCTTTCCACTTTGATGACAATTTGAAAGCTCAACATCCACACTTCTGTCAATACTTATCCGACAAAGCAGTCCAACTTTAACATCTTTTGTGATATGGAAACTGCTCTTAAAGTATCATCAACTGGGGCTAACAAGCAAAACAACGATAGACTTTGGTACAAAGACCAACGACTTTTAAAGTCTACATAGGTCTACCCCAAAAGAAAAAGGGAAAAAAAAAAGAGAGGAGTTTCCCTGATTGGACATGCAAAAGTTTGCGTTCAGAGTTCGTTAATTATGAAAGAGAAACTTTACTAAAGAGCAAAGTAAAAGTAGGGAAAGTCGTCCTCACTAAAACCTTTTTGACTGCTAAAGCTCATTTTCCAATTAGACAATTAGTGTGGGATTGTGAAAAGCTATACCTTGGTCGAATTACTCAACTTTATTAGAATTTTTTCAATTAGAATTTTTGCTCTTTTTCATACAAAACAACAACAAGAGAAAGGAGTTCAAATTAGACTTGTAATAGACTTAGAGCCACAAAAGCATGAACTCCCTCAGAACAAACAAACAAAACAGAAAAAAAAAATGGAGCTCAAATTAGACTTGCACTGTGAGAGAAGTTCAGAATTTAGCTTCTAACGCATTTGGTTAGCAGTTTCCCCATTGAAGCCTAGTGCTGAAAAAGGTATGGTTCATGTAATTCTACTGGTTTATTAAACCAAACGTCCCAACTCCCAAAACTAATGGAAGAAAGTACAACATTACTAGAACTAGATATTTAGAATATAGGCTTGTTTTCATTTGCTGTGAAATTTTGCAAAATTTGGTTAAAGCGATTGGTAAGGATAATGAGAATTAGGTAAATGTAGTCTTTAATAGATTCATAGTTTAATTTTTTTGACTATTGATAAAATCTGAAGTTAGATGCAGAAGAAGAATATCAACAAAAAAAAAAAAAAGTTAATAATCCTAATTTTAGAATATATAATCAAAGAAAAATAATCGATCAACTATCAATAGCTATTGATCCCATAATCGTACACTACATATTATTTTGTAAAGAAAAATGATTTTATCATACATTTATTGTTTAAATATATATCCAACTCAAAATGAGGAGTTATGTCACATCATGTAACTCGTTGGTAATAAGGCCTAGTTCTGAAAGAGATATTCAATAAATTAATTTTGGCTTACATACATGCCTATTTGAGACTTTAGGTCCTATATATATCCGGCATCTTTTTTTGAATTCACTCAGTCAATGCGTAACAAGTATGCTCCATCTGCAGATTTTGGCAGTTTTGTTTTCTCTAATCACTGGGTGCTTCTGGGGTGCTGGATATCACATCTAATAGTTTTTTCGATACCCATTGTCTGAGATATGGTGATCCTACCTTCAATTCCAAAAACACCAGCAGTGACCGTAGCCAATCCACTTGCGGGGGCACCGACATCAATTTAAAGTGCCTGTTTCAATTTAGTGGTGATGATTTGTGCCCTGAACCTTATGTTATTGAATTCTCTTGTGAAAACAATCGCAGTGTTCTATCCTTGAGTGTTGGTTCCTCTCCGGAGATACAACGGTATAACTTTTCTGTGGAGCTAAACAGTATTGATTATGAGAAACAGACATTTCGTATATTTGATCCTGGGGTGCAAAAGAACAACTGTTCTACTCTGCCAGTCTACCCATTAAGTCCATACTACTACAACTTCTATTATCAACCTGGTACCTATTACGGCATGGAGATTGATCCCGATGCTGGTTCGTTGGTCTTTGTCAGCTGTAAAAATCCCGTGAAACCGAAATATCCTCTTTATGTAGACACTGATTCCTGTAATATCACTGCAAATCAGTTTTCAAAAATGAAAGCTCCGTCCAATTATTACAGCTATGTTGTGGTTGGTGAAAGTGTCGTGGCATCTGATATTGAAGAGTCGTGCACTGTCTATAAGACAGCTCCTGTAGACCTGCGGCGTCTCCCTAATGTAACAGCAGGAGATATTTCGTTACAAGACATCCACAATCTTCTGTCTAATGGCCTTGAGCTCAGTTGGTACGCACGCTTCGATACCAGCAGGAGGAGGAAATCCCTTTTTTGTAAGTACACTGATTTGAAGATTTATTAACATCGTGATTGATGATTGATTATGGTGATCTTTTAAAACGTAGTCTTGAAACTATGTTTTTGGGAAATTAATTGCAAATTACCGTATATTGGAAGATTTTAAGTTAAGATGTGAAGTGGTACATTTGGGACTAAATACGGTAGTACCACTATTCATCTTTCTTTTTTAGATTAGAGTGAATGACCGAAATGATCACTCAACTATTCAAAATGGTATCCTTTGATCATCAAACTTTTTTGTGGTTAAAAAGGTCACTAAACTCACATAAACACGCCAACAGAGTCATTTTACCGATTTTTAACGGTTTCTCATCCGGTTACAAGGGTCTTGAGTTGCATGAATATTCTAATAGGGGCCAAAATGTTCAAAAGTTTATTGGAACAAGTGAACTCATAGAAGCTCACATCAAAATCAAAATGACTCCACTAGCGCGTTTACTTGAGTTCAGTGACCTTTTTAACCACAAAAAAGTTTGATGACCAAAGGATGCCATTTTGAATGATTGAGTGACTATTTGGGCCATTTACTCTTTAGATTATAGAAAAACCAAATATTGTTGATGAGTACAACCGTTTATTCTATACACCGTATAGGTCTAGATTGTGGAAGTGTAGATTTAACCTATCTCAAATTCTCCTTTTAATAATGCAATTCTTACTCCAGAAATGAAAGGAGAGTACATGTGAAATTTAGTTGAGTCAACCCTGGGTAATGTTCCTTTCATTTTCCAGCTTCAAGTAGATTTCTTAATTTGTATTTGATACATCATTCATGTAACGAATTGCATCACCAAATACCAGTACTTTGAGTAAGATACCTTGTTATCTATTAGAAGGAGATATTTCTTTACATATGGCATTAAGTGAAAAGAATTAAGGCATTTTTAACGTATGTTTGTTTAGTTCTTACAACATTTGTTTGTTTAGCAACTAATAAAATACAGTATTCAGAAATATGCAAGAAATACAATAATAGTATACAACCGCATCTACAAAAACACATCTGTTTAATTCAAAAACTGATGATGTGGCCTTTGTTGTTTTGGGGAAACAGAATACCAGAAACTGCTATTTTGTCTTTATTTGTTGCTGCAAATCTTTTTTAGCAAACAAAAGTATATAGGAACATAGTCAAATTAGAATAGTTGGATTTTAGACAGGAGGGTGGTTGACTTTTTGAAAAAGCATATTTGTGTTATGATCCCAACAAACATATCAATTATTGAATTTTCACTTTGAACCATGCAAAACAAACAAACATTGAATTTATTGTCGTAGTAATTTGAAACTATTTTCATTTTTATTGTCGTAGCACAAGAGTGTGAAATAGCTGCAATTAATAAAAGTTGATTTTCAGCATCCAATTGGACATTAACGTTGACTTTTGTACGTAGGCGATGTGGCTCTCAAATCGGTAGAAATCTCCGAATTCGTCGAACGACATGTCATCGGCCATTATGCATATGAACGTGAGTAATCTGATTTCTTTGATTTACAGAAAAACCATTCTATAATCAATCAGATTCTTTCTATTTCAATATTTCCATTATAATCCTTTAACTTTTCTTTTATAAGCAGCTTACATTGGTATTGGTGGCTTGGTTTCGGGTAAGGCATCTGATTTATAGTTGAAAACTCTGTCTATTGGAAGTCAGTTAATCATTGTTTTGTTCTTCTATTTTAGTTGTGCTTATTGCAGCAAAACATGTCATTGGCATTATCCTCTTGTTTGCTTTCCTCCTTTATCAGTGTCGTCGGAGGCATTTATCGAAGTATGATACAATAGAAGATTTCCTACAAGCAAACAACAGCCTCATGCCCATCAGGTACTCATACAAAGAAATTAAGACAATGACAAAAATTTTTTAGGAGAAACTAGGTGAAGGAGGCTATGGATTGGTTTACAAAGGCAAATTGCGCAGTGGAGGTGCAGTTGCTGTCAAGATGCTGAACAAATCAAAAGCTAATGGGCAGGAGTTCATCAATGAAGTTGCAACTATTGGAAGAATACACCATGTGAACGTGGTTCGGTTAGTGGGGTTTTGTGTGACTGCCTCAAAACATGCTCTAGTGTATGATTACATGCCAAATGGCTCTTTGGATAAGTTAATTTTCTCAAATTGTCAAAATGGTTCTCCATTAAGTTGGAAGCAAGTTTGCGAGATTGCAAAGGGGGTTGCTCGTGGGATTGAGTACTTGCATCAGGGGTGTGATATGCAAATTCTGCATTTTGATATTAAACCGCATAACGTCTTACTTGATGAGAATTTTGTTCCAAAAGTTTCAGACTTTGGACTTGCAAAACTTTACCTGATGCAAAAGAGTATTGCAACTCTTACTGCTGTGAGAGGAACTTTAGGTTACATGGCCCCGGAGTTGTTCTATAAAAAGATTGGAAGAGTCTCGCATAAGACAGACGTTTACAGCTATGGAAAGTTACTAATGGAGATGGCAGAAGGAGGAGAAATGTGGATGCTCATGCTGAGCATTCTAGTCAAATATACTTCCCTTCATGGATATATGACAAATTCGATCAGGTGGAGGAAATGGAAATCGGAGATCATGCAACTGAAGAAGAAAAGACGATTACAAGAAAATTGATTTTGATTGCCTTGTGGTGCATACAGATGACACCTGAGAATCGTCCTTCAATGAGGGAAGTCTTGGAAATGCTTGAAAGTGATGCTAGTGGCCTAACGTTGCCTCCTAAACCGTCGTTTTACCCTCCAAATTCACCCATATCTATGCAAAGAAGCAGCAATGGTAGTTCTTCTGATGAGTCAACGGTACCCCTGTGTAGCTCTGTGTCTTTAGAAATACAGCAGATGGATGGCTAAGTAGTATTAGTACTTTCAGTGAATGCTTTATCTAGTGGATTTGTCCTTCAAACTCTTAAACATGCAACCTAGTACCAGATAAAATGGCAAACTGAAATATCAGTTTAACTTACTAATTTCTACAATTGAGCTCCAATACATAATTTCTTAAACTATTATATCATGTTATCTAAAACAGCGAACAGTACATCTAAACATTTCACGCAAATTCACAAGATTGATCTTTTGCAGTGGTGTTGCTGTTACTGGTCAAATTGTTGGTTTAACATAGCCTTGTAGCCTTTTTTTTTTCATTTATCCTTGGATTTTTCCTTCGAAACGTGCCTTTCCTTTTCATCAACATGCTGAATTGGAGCTAGCCCAAGTTCACTTAAGCTTTACAATCTTTAAAGGGATAATTTCAGAAACCTCAAGAGGTTTCTGACAATTTCAGTCAACTCCCCCTAAATTTAGAAAATTACACTGACCTCCCATACTTTTACTATTTAGGTAACATTATAGACCCATTAGGCTAGAAATATACTTAAGTATCCTAAAATACCCTTATGCAATATCATAACATCAAAAGAAAGTGAAAAAAAGGTTTAGTGATCAATTTAACCAAAAAAAAAGTAACAAACACTTTTATCCAAATTTGCTATGCTTCCACAATAATTGTAAACCCAAAACCTTATCAACCGTTCAAGCAAACTCCAATTTAATTCCCAAATTCTATCAATTTTGGTATCACTAAAATCCCAATTTATTGATGTCTATGCCAAGAGTAACCCTATACTCCAATGGCATTAGAAATAGAGAAACTAATCTTTACGACAAACCACTACCAATACTTGTAAATCAAACAAAAATGAAACTAAATGAAGATATTAGATTCTAGTATGTAATGGACATAATAGCACAACTCAAAGTCATCCCTTTTTCTCTTCTAACTATAGCCCATTCATTTTATTTTTTTTCCTCCCTATCACAACCATCTTCATCATCTCCATCTAATTTGACCATGAAATTTTCATTTTCTCCCTCAATTTGTAATTTTGGAAATTTTGATTCTTTAAGATATGTAAATTATAATACAAGAAGAAATAAACAAAGGGGCTGATCAAGGGGGCTGATAGTTAAGTACCACGGAAAGAGAGAAATAGACAAGAAATATACACTTCAGGTAGGTTTGCATGGCCTTGCATTTACGGGTGGAAGAGACTGTGGGGTTATAGGTAAGAAGGAGAGAGTCATAAGAGGTAAAAAAAAAAAAGAAAGGGAAAGAGAAAAGAAACTGCTGTTAATTAAAATAGAATTAGAGATAGTGATAGGTTGTCGAGCCTGTGCAATAATAAAAACCTACTCGAAAAAAATACAAATTTTGTATAGAGCGATGAGCAGGGTCGAATCCACAGGGACTGGGGATAATTCGTTTTTTCTAGAGTTTAGCGCATGGGGGATTTTTGGAAAATATAAAATAACTAATTAACTAACTAATGAAACAACTAATAGAAATAACAAGAATTAATCAATAACCAGTACGACTCTAGCCAAAGGTGCAACTTTTCAGACACGGTCCATTCAACTGATCATCGGTGCAAAGATAATTCAATTATTCATTACTAGATTAGTTATAGTTGTCATACACGCGATGAACAACCAGCCTTTCCTTAATTTCTCGATAGTTAAGGTACGACCGTTAACTATTTCTCTAATCAAGAAATAACCCTAGGTACGACTGTAGGATTTAATTACTCGATTGCATTAATAATTAGAAAAACCCAACCCTAACCAACAAACACGTTACGAGGGTTTGTTTAAATTAGATCATACGTTTCTCTAACATGAAACCAATCAAACTAATCGCTACTGGTACTAATCAATTGAACAATTACGGATTCAATCAATTAATTTGGCATTAGATCATTAGGTTAATTCGAATATCGGGCCTTTGACATTCAAATAACATAACAAGCATAAGCAATTAAATTAGGAAACGTACAAATACCAATGAATAAAAGAAATAATTAAAATTAATTCGATCTCACAGATATTTGGAACCGCGCCTTCAAGTTGGCCTTCGACTAGATGAGAGGCTTAGCCACGCCGCATAAATAAATTTTCACGCAAATTAATTGATTGCAAAAGCATCAAGTTTTTCACTAGGAAGCGAGAAATAAGAGATGTTTTTTCCGTTGGGGAATATTGTCGAACAGTAGGCGTGCGCCTGACAAAGAAAAAGAAAGAAAAGACTAAAACTATTCAAAAGACTAAGCCCCCCAAGCCTCTGCACGATTGTCCCTTTTTAAAGCCAAAAGAAAGATGACTAATGCTATCCCTGTGGTCCCCGCCGAATTGGGAGTCAAAGAGCCAAAGAATTGGAGCTTTGCTGAAATTCCTCCTTGTTTCCTATTGATAGTAGGACTCCTTGTACCAGCCACTCCTCATCAACAAGAGCAAACGGAAATCCGTTTCTTCCCTCTTGTGGACCACGTTGATGGAGCTTTGCAGAAGACTCCCACGTGTGAAGTAATTTGCTTCAGAAAGTCCATCCTTTTTTGTAATTTTCTGCTCCATTCCCTGAAATTAAATCCAGATACCAAATATAAGTAGATATTAACAATTAAGACAATATTTGGCAGGGATAAGGGAAAAATTAATAATAAAATAACCGACAATTAACACCCTATCAGATAGTGACGAGTTGTTGCAGGTTTATATATATATATATATATATATATATATATATATATATATTTTACCTTTGGTTTGGTTTTTGTATCCCGCATATGTGGTAAATTATCTATTAAGTAGAAGGTATTGTAGTAATTTTATTGAATTGAGGGAGGTTAGTGTAATTTTCTAAAATTGGGGGAGCTAAGTGAAATTGTCAGAAACCTCAAGGGAGGTTTTTGAAATTATCCCATCTTTAAATTTGAATTTTCATTAATTTTATGGATTTAACATGCAATCTCCCATAATTTCAATGATGCAGTCAGAAAATATAGTATCTACTTTAATTGTTCTACTAATAGATGTAAAATACATCATTAAATGAAAAGCTTTAAATAAAACTTTTTATTACAATTGGCCTGATTAAGTTTTTTTTCTAATGTTCCGTTTGATAAAACTGAATCTGAATTCTGAAGTCTAAATTCTGAATTCTGAATACTGAAATAATTAATTTGCTGAATTTTAAGCACTGAATAGAAATATATGAATATCTTAATTTTAATGCTAAATCTATTTATACTGTTTGATAAATATTTATAATTGAATGCATAAAACGTTTAATTTGATAATTTTACCCTTATATCTTTTCATTCAAAAATGAAATAGAACCTATGATTTAATTAGTTTAAAATTGTTAGGTATGAAATTGACAATATTTATTTTTAAAACAAATTAATATAAAAGATGAAATATATTATATGAGGAGTATGGTGAAAAAAATGAAAGTCATTAAAAAGGGAGAAAAGAGAAACAAAAAACCGTTATATAGAAAATATCAGATTGTTTAATTAAATAAGAATTTTGAATATAATTAACAAACAATGGTAGATTTGGTAGATAAGATAAGATGCTTGAACTAATTCTATTAATTCTTATCAGAATTAAGCATTCAGTTAGGATTCTTGTGCTGAAAAAAATACACACAAGTTCAGCACTGGTTAACAAGTTTAGCAGATGGATTTTCATTTATCAAACATTCAAAGCATTGAATGTCTAAAAAGATTCAGTTTCAACACTTTTTTAAGTTATCAAACAAACCCTTAGTGGGATGTCTCGAATTCGAAGCATCTTACTTACACTTCCTCTTCCAACTATATGAAGATGAATTTTATATGACATGCATTTCAGCAAAAATAATCTTACATGGATACATGTTTTTTAAGCGTTATCTTACAGCCTACGGATGGACAAATTACTATAGGACTAGTTTATTTGGGCCTCACGCGCTGCGTGAGGGTACCCGGAAAGAGTATAATCTATTCTAGGGATGGCAATTCCTGACACGACCCGAAAACACGACACGAACCTAACAAGAAATTAATGGGTTTGAGTTGAGGTTTTGAGAGTTCGGGTCAGAATCGGGTCGAACCCGATGAACCCGAAAAGAAAACATGTCAATTTCGGGTCAACCCGTGATGACCTGATATGACCCGATGTGACCCGTTTACGAATTAAAACTAATTTAATAAACATAAAAATTATTTTATCTAACTAAACTAAATTATTCTTTTTTTCCAAAGGCATTAATTACTTAATCCTAAATGAATTTATTTAACTTGTGTGAAGTTAAAATTATTATATTTGGACAAATAATATATTATGTTATTTTTTACTTTTATGCTGTTTTAATTTATTTTATATTTGGTTTGGCATAAAACACTTTTATGGTGTTTAATTTATTTTAGATTTGGTTTGAAATTATTTATTTGAATTTTTATTACTTGATGAAGTAATTAATTTTGTGAAAATTTGATTTTATTAGAAATTACAGTGATAAATTAATAAATTAAAATTAAGTTTCGGGTCATTTCGGGTCGACCCGCCAACCCGAAATTTTCGGGTTCGTGTCAGGTACCCTGACTCGTTTCGGGTTGGCGGGACGGGTTCGAGTCAGCAGATTCTTTGTTATACTTAAGTCTCAACCCAACCCGCCAACCCGAACCCGACCTGATTGCCACCCCTAATCTATTCAAGAATACATGGTCCCAAACTGTAACAATTCTCCAGGCATTGTCATCAAATTCTTTGACCACACAGATATGGTATCTTGTCTTAAGAAACTACCCAAAACTCCATCATTTGTTCATGCCGTCAACATATAAAAACGTCAGATTTCAAACTCCAGCATTTCCTTTAGTGCATTAAAAGCATAAATGCACCATTGTCACTTCATGTATTGCCACACCGAATGATCTTAAAAACAATTGCAGTTGGTGCATAGGTAAAATCAATACGAATACATGCCGGCACATGTACGGGCTTGTAGCACAGACTAAAGCAAATTGGGGATGACCTTTTCATAAAGGAGCAAAACACAAACTTCAACAAATTTTATTCGCAAAAATTCACTTTAGAGAATTATAATTACAAACTTCGAGTAATTAA